GTTGTTGACCTCCTCTAGGAAGAGAAAATGTCAAATACTACTAAGTAATACTGATCTACTATTAATATTTGAAAAGTGATCCATGATGGATAGGTTGTGATGGCCTCGCATTCGGTCGGCGGCAGTCGCCGAGCGCCGACATAAGACGATGACACACAATTCATGCGTCGTCGTCTTACGTCTTGATGTAATACAATAATTAACAAAAACAATTGATATTCAAACAAAAACATCTGAGATATTAAAAAGGTGCTCCAAATAAAATAATTATGACAATTTAGATGACAGTCAAAATTTTTTTCTTAGATTTTCTTTGCTAAAGATAAGCTTGGCGCTTGGAAGCGATTTGCAGAAAACAATAATATAGGTACAATAGCACAGGACAACTCTCGTGGGTCTTGTTGTTACTGCACTTCGAAGCGCCAAGCTTATTAAAATTTATTGAAACAATAATGCCCATACAAATAATTCTGGGTCAGTTCAAATCCTTTTTTAATATTCCAACTAGAGTCAGATGGTTAACAACTTTAAAAACCGACGATATGATTTTAAAAAACACATATACAATATACATTTCACATCGACCTTTTCTTTGAGAATTCGACATCAACGATACAGTATTAAAATTTTTCACATAAAATATTTGAACTGATCCAGAATTATTTGTATGTTCATTATTGTTTTAATAAATTAATTAATCCTTGGAATTTTACAATTTATGTAAATTTATGTAATATGTCAAGCTTATCTTTATCAAAATAAATCTCCTAAGAAAAAAATTTGATTTTTATGTAAATTGTCATTAATTTTTACTTTGAGCAATTTTTCTTTATTTCAGATGTTTTTGTTTAGATTTATATCTTATGATACCTTTTTAATATGTAATTATTTCTTATATACACTATGTCAGCGAGATTTATGATTTAGCGCTATTTAGAGATTGCTATCAGCTGGAGCTGTTAAGAAAATCTACAAGTTAATGTCATCGTTACGAGAAGAGTTGGTGTTCTTTGCATCACTATGGCGGAGTAACCAGGATTTTGGGAATACAAGAATTAAGTCATTCGGGAGACCAAGGAAAGTTCCCTCTGTCTTTTTTAAGCGAATGTTTAATTACCTTAGAATCACTTTAGTTATCTAATTTTACCTAATTAAAATCATGTGATATGCATTATTATATTTATTTTAAAATAACAAAACTGATTTCTTTGGTACCAAGGGCTGCTATAGCATTATAAGTATCCCCTAAATACGCCCAATAAAACCTGTTTATTATGATTTAATAAGAAATATTTTGACTGTTTATGCATTATAAAAGTGGACAAGAGAAGGTTTTATTAAATCTCTACATAATACATATCATTGTGTATAGAACTGTTGACCTTTTTTTTAACTCTTTCCGCCCTGTGGGCACTAAGAAGACCTCTTTTTTGCAAGCCATTATGTGGGGCGGCCGGGTGGTGAGGGACGGGGGTCCGACATATCCGGAAGAACCCCCCGAAAAATTCCTAGGGATTTAACGACCTGTCCGGATTCGAATCCAGGTCCCCCAGAGCAGCAGGCTGCCACCTTGACCGATCGGCCATCCTGCCGTCTTAACCTGTCGACCTGTGCTCTGGCAGTGATGTCTCATAAAAATAAAGATAGACTCTTGTGAATTTTTCTTTGAATCGTGCTCTCTTAAGCAAACTGCTTCCTTATCCGATGTTCTGTTTAATGAACATCGATAAGGAAATGGCATATTCCTAGACAGAAATCGATCTCTGAATGTTTGTGGAAATTTCATTCATTTCCTTGTATGAGAAGGGGAGCGTTGTTAAATCCTGCTTTGATGACACTAAATGTGTTTGTTTGTTTGTTTAATCATGGCAACGCAACACTTGTGCGATCTGCCTAGGGGGATGCCTTCCGGAAAGTCTTTTTAAGGGAAACTGGCCCTTATTTAGACGTTACAGACATGGAGAAAACCCAGAAAGCGCCACATGGCCAGCCCGTCCGAGCGAGGCGCGAACCCACGACCGAATTCCCAGTGTTCAGGAAACGAAGACCGCTTGGTGGGCCCACCAAATGTAAGAAGCTTATTTCTGTCAGGAAAAAGACCCAAACTCATTACACTAAATGTGAGCACAGGGAACGACAAACACCACTCAAGTGACACCAAATGTGTGATCGGGGTTTGTTCCGATTTTACCCTCGTTCACTATCAGAATTAATAAAGGATGAAATTGGGAAAAGATCGGTAAAATCCTTCCTTTTGTCAGGGTCTTGACGCCAGTGAGGTTAAACTAATTCACGTCTTAACTCGCAATTGAATGAAATCAATTTTCGAGTGGTCCGAAACACTTTCAAGAATGACTGGAACTTAGGAGGGTTTTCGTAAGGACGACGATGGAGTGTGCCTAACTCCATCGTCGTCCTTACGAAAACCCATTAGATAGGTTAGAATATAACGAAAAATATTTATTAAACATCTAAATAATTCCATACATATGATAAACTTAAATGAACTAATCAAAGGAATAACTGTATACAAATAAATGTAGAGGTTCTGCAGGCATACCTTTAAACTATTCAATATCTCGATAGAACTCGATTTTGAGAAAGTTTACAAATAAGTATCAATCTTATCTGTTTACATACATCTAAGATGACGAAAGCGTCAAGAGCGTTAACAATATCTAGAGATGGAGAGTAGTGAGTTCGGTAGATCGACGATTCGGCACTCGGCAATGGAGCCAAAATAAGAGCGAAAATTATAGATTAAGCATGTGGCTAAAGGGTGACTAAAGCATGACTAAAAGCACGACTAAAGCACTGTTCAAAGACTCCAACTTATATACTCATTGATCATTGGACCACCAATGGTATAACTCGAATATCACGCCATATTTCCAACACGAGAGGGAAATCAGGCGTTTTGGCCAATAGTCGAATGAGGCATCAGACTCGCCCATTTTGGTATTGGCCAAAACGCCTAAATTTGATAGTTGAGCATATCGCCCAACTATCAAATTTAACAAAGATAGATAATTTTTCTATCATCTTCATTTAAGATTACATTTAGAATATTAACTTCATTTATTCTCTTCAGTTTCATCAGGCTCATTTCTATTGTATACAGAAGAATTTCAGTACATTTTCTAGCAAACAATTTTTATTCGTGTGAGATACATATGGCTCATTTTTTCATGTGTACAGAAAAAATTTACTACAGACAGCGCTTCTTCAACACCACTGGTTTAATTTGCTACAAGGAAAGAAACTGTCTCCTGAACATGTTCGAATACTTGTTTTCTTACCTTAAATAAAATTCTGCAGTGTTTGAGAATGAGAACAGTTATTCATTAATCTATTATAGTTAAAATAAACGAACCTAAAGGAAAATTACTGTATATCTCAAAGTCAAAATAAAAGATTGTAGTTTCATCTCTTAGAATTTAGTAAATTGTTTTTCTTGTTATTTTACTTTATTAGTTTATTTAATATATTGAAATAAATAAATAAATAAGTTAAACAATAAATCTATATAAATAAAAATGTAATGTTCGTTTGTTCCAAATAGCTAATCTCCGAAAGTTCTTCACCGATTGCTTTGAAATTTTCACACAACGTTCCATTCGAATACGGGCGTGTTTTTATATAATTTATATATGTCGAAAGTCTCTCCCCCGTGAGTTAATAATAAAAAAGTTATTTTTTAATGAAATCTCATAACAGATGGCGCCATACACAATTTTAACTTCGCACTAATGTGTCTTAGTTTTTCTTAAATATTTTTCGCCTGGAAAATTATGAAATATTTAGCCATAAAAGTTTAAAAATTAATTAAATCGTATTTACAATTTCATACTCTTTTTGTTTTTTTGTTGACTATTGCTATATTGTTCAAGAGACATTTCTGAGAACGAAACTTCGGTTCGAGACATTACACTTACAGAAGATGCGCTCTCTTAACGATATTTTCTCACGATCCAACTACGTGATAAGAGCGGGGATACTACCGCATACATTTTAATCAGAAAAATATTAGAATTATTTTTAAAGTTAATATTTTTAAAGTTAATTTGATGTTTAAAAAAGAATTAATCTATATAATAAAAATGTAATGTTCGTTTGTTCAAAATCTTAAATCTCCGAAAGTTGTTCACCGATTGCTTTCAAATTTTGACACAACGTTGCATTCGAATACGCGCGTTTTTATATTATATAGATGTCGAAATTCCCCCCACGCGGGGGAAAGGGACAGGATTAAGGCTTCCCGTGAAGAACTCAGCTTCTATTATACTATTCTAGATGCGATTTTTTGCGTTTATAATTGCATTTTAATAGGGTAAGTCAAGAGAATGTGCACTAAGAAGGAATTTTTCGAAATTCTCCCCTCGCGGGGGAAGTGTTATACATTTATAATAGATACACTTTGAGCCACAGCAACGCGTGGCCGGGTCTGCTAGTATTAAATAAAATTATTAGTTAAATGAATTGATTAATTTTTTATATATTTTTTCCGCTCTCTGGGCGCCAATAGAGCCCTTTTATCGAACCCATCGTGGATTCGGCTAACAAAGCCTACAATGGGGCGTCCAGGTACTAAAGGATGGGCGCCTGATATATCTTAGACAGATCAACCCCGAAAAACCACAGGAATTTTTTTTTGTTCTCAAGAGCGGCGTTTGACAGCTTAATCACGTGACCATCCGCCGTATAGTTAATTAAGTTCACTAATTATTCGGTGTATTCGTGTATTGGAGGTCTGGTTAATATTCGAATTCAGGAAAAGTGTTAGTCCCTCATCATTAATAAAATTTTTGTGTTTCTTTTTAATAAACAATAAGCCATTTTTTATTTTTACAATCAAACATTAAATTATTTTAATTCTTTTAAAACTAAAATACAATAAATAATTGCGAAAATATTTAATAAAATTAATATAATATAAAATACAAAATAAAAACAAATGCTTGATGAATATTTTGTGCTTATTTAATGTTATATCATTTTAAAACTTTTTCTATATACTGTATCACGATATATAGCAAATATATATTATATTTCTATACTTTATAACATTTTTTCCAAATATCACATAAGCATACTGTAGAATGAAATCGATAATAGATTGCAAGAGGCGTAGTTACGTACAGAATAATTATCCATCCCCAAAATCTATAAAATTCTAAGAGTACGGGATTAGAATCAACTCTTTGAGTTTCTAGCGTGTTTATAGCCCACATTGCAAAATTACATAATAAAAGAAAAGTTACCATTTCTCGGCCCGGTTTTCGATTCATTTGTTCAGAGTTAGTTGCCCTTCTTTTAGAAGCATCAAAAATGAACATGGTTTGCAAAGTGCTTTGAATAAGACACGCCGAACTGCTTAGCAATACCAAACCTAAATTATCATTTTTTGCAAATATTGCCCCTATAATACTGAATACATTAAATAAAGAGAGACCGGATTGCCCTACCACTAGTAAATAATTATCTAATTCAGCATTCTTGTTCGGAAAATATTTTAGTTCTTTCATTTGATACAAGGAAACTGCAACAGCAAGCGAAGTCATTAAATATAATACAAGTTCCGTGATTCTTGCTTCAAGTACAGCTAGAGGTTTTGTCTTTAGTTTATTAATAAATACAAAGAATAAAATGATACTGATGATAGATAAAGAAAGAACGAATATACCGGTGAATAAACCCTTATTGGCTTTGGTGCAATCCACCTAAAACACAAAAATTTCAATTAAAACTTAGATTTATAACATTTATAATATATTAAATATATATTTTTTTCATTTATATATTTAATATACAGTATACAATATGAATTCGATAATTATTACTGCTCAAATATTATAATTACATGATAATAATGTCTCTTAGCCGAAAAGGAATGTTTTTCGTCTGTACTATTTTCGAGAGACTTTCCGACATTTTTCCACATCATAAATAAAATTGCAGCAGCTATGACACTATGTTCAATAACACAAGGGAACAAAAACTGACTGGCATCTTGAACTAGTTTACCCATAATGCTCGATCTTCTACATTCGTGATTTGAATATAAAGTTTCATCTATCACAGTTTTATTAGAAAATTCATTTGCAGATTCACCTAAAGAAACATTGAAATTATTTCGTTCAACTGATGTAATAATTACAGATTATATAAACCCATTTACGTTATCTTACCTTGATTTATCGCGATGTTAAAGTTCATATTCTTTATCAAAGGAAAAGAGGTTGAATTAGCTGACGTCAAAATGCCGTGTTTAGTTTCCTGAACTAAAACATGAAGCCAAACGCATAAATTGGCAGCAATCATATGCATTAATCCAAATCGAGCAATTGTTTTATATTTGTTGACAATCATCTTTATAATAAAAATTATATTGAATTAAATTACATAATGGTACATTCATCAATTTATAATTATCTTACCGTAGAATTTAGAAAAATAAAATACATCTGAGCGAAGGTGAATACCATTCGAGTAAATGGAGTTAATCCGAAGAGAATGTTATAGCATTTAGATTCTGTATGCAGTTCGAAAAATTGCCCAAATTCCAATCCAGAATAAATCATGCAGCCAATTCCAAAAGCTAAATTATAAAGTAAATTATTGGATTATTTTTAGAACGTAATATTACATAAGTAATATAATGTAGCTCTATGCTATAAGTGTCAATTCTGTAAAAAGTATGACTACAGTTGCAGCAGAATGAATATAATCGGCATGCGATATGTCATAGTATTTTATTTATTTACTTTTTATCGTAGATACTAAAAAAAGTTAGTCTAATATGCGATTGAAATTAGTTCTTTATCATAAGATGCAGCTCGTATGACGTTTGTAAAATAGTAAAATGGCATATTATAAAAAATTCTGTCCAATTTTAATTCAATTTAAAGATTTCAGTTTTTACACAATATTCTGCTGTTCATTATTAATCCGGAATGTTCATTCCTTGTCCGTAAAATGACTTAAAAAGCAAAGCTATCAGTTTCTAGAAATGCATTTTCCGAAATTAAATGTCTAGAAACAAATGATCATATTTACAGCTTTGTAGAATTACGTTTTTGAACTTAAATTATAAACTGCAATTATAAGCATGTGAGCTGAAATATTTTGAATTTAAATATATTGCGAAAAATTCTTTAACACTAGAAGTTTTTTACTGTGATAAAATATTACAAAAGATTAATTCAAAAATTTAGAATAAATTATAACATTTTTAAATTAAGTAACGGAATATATTAAATTATATTAATACGTTATGTAATGTGCATCGTCTTGTATTATTAGTAAAAAAAGAAGTTTGCCTGAAATAAGTTATTATGAAAATATTATAATCACAATTCAGTTTATATTACCGATAATTTAAAAAGTGTTTTTTACAGTTAAATCTTTAAAAATAATTTTAATTGTGATAAAATATGCTGATTTGGACAATAATTTTTAAAATAGAATTTTAAAAAGGGAGTTTTAAAATAATGAAATTTAATTATATATAATTTTTTCTGTTTTTTTTTTCCTAGATTTCTCTGTACAAAAATTTTCCCATGATTTTCCCTGTTGAAAAAAAATGTATCCAAATTTGGGAAACAATTTTGCAACGATAGTCACGCATCGAGTCTTTAGATCAATTTTTTAACGTTAATGTTTATTACAAAAACGTTAGGTGAATTACCAACGCTAGTTTTAATTAAAATTCGTAACAGAACAGTATAAATTTGCACAATTCAATTGTTTATTAAATGGTAGACTGTCTTACCACTAAATTAGTTAACGATCATAAATATTCCCCCGATTAATCAGCATTTTACTGTATTTTTCAGTCTTCTGGAAATTTTAACAAATGTTTTGTAATAAACAAATCCTATATGATGAACTTATTGCAATAAAATAAATTAATTGAAAATATAAATGCAGATGTTTACATACCTACAGCACTTAATCGGATGTAGAAACTACCACTATGCATTAATTCGTCTACTTTCTTTTTTGTCACTGGAGATGCAATTCCGAAAGAACTATTTCTTCTTGGTACTGTATCCATAGTTTTCAAAACAGTGTGTAAAATCTTTGAAAACGTACTTATTTTATGCGATTCTCTTTCTCTTCTTAATAGAAACACATACACAAATAGAATAAATGATATACTCCCGATATATAAATAAAGATAAAAGCCCTGAAATGAAAAATTAAATTTAATAAGTAAAAAAACAATATAACTGACAAATGAATATCTATATGTGTTCTAAAGACATTAAAGCTTGTTTAAAAAATGCTTTAATGTCTTTAGAATATAAATATCTTAGCAATAGCTTATTAGGTTTTCTTTCTAGAATACTAAACTATTCAAGTGTATTTTATGTAAACACTAATGATAAGTTCAATGTGTAATAAAGTTATAATTTTCTAAATTAATAACTAAAAACTTATTTCTGCATAAAATTAATTTAATTTTATATGACTAATTTAAATTTAGGCCTATTATATATATGTGTGTATGTAAGAAGTTTAATACAGTATTAAAATAATAAATGTTGTATTTGAATTGAATATTTACTTTTTATATAACTAAATAATTAAGAATCATTAAAATAAATTCAAGGTTTTGTTCCTTTTTAAAGGTTAATTTCACTTGTTTTTTTCTTATTTAAATATGAAAATTTTTTTCATTTAACAGAATTTACGCTAATAATTATTCTATTATATATAAAAAGTATAATAAATATATATTCTGTAATTCTTATAGTTTGTTTTTGACAATAGAATAATTTATATATTCAAATATAAACTTGCTAAATTTGTTCACAGATATATATTTTATTGTTTAATTATGATATTTATTAAAGAATAAATATTCTACATATGGTTAGGATTGTTTTTTACAGAAATTCATTTTGTTTATTTCTGGGCTACATCGTCAAACTAACAAATGAAGTACAGTATAGCTATTGTAAACAATGATAGATTTAGACAATAGAACGCTATGTGTACTTTGAGTTCTTATAAACAATTTAAAACTAATTCTTGACACATATTTTTAATAGGTCTATTATTTTCTAAGAAATGGTATCAAAATTATTTCATGTTTAGTCAAGTTAGTAAAAATTTTAATAAATTTTAGATTTTCAAATCTTTGAAATAGAAAAATTTGGCATATTCTTTAATGTACTTATTTAGGATTCGGATTAAGCCAATATATAAATGAAGAGGATAAAGTATGTCTATTTTTCCAAACAGCAAATGCGACAGATGTACAAACTTGAACATGAATTTTAATTAACTTGTAAGAAATACAAGTTAATTAAAATTCAAGTTCAAGTTTGTGCAGTTATCGCATTTGCTATTTAGAATAATAGGACATAATTTATCCTTTTTATTTATTTGCACATTCTGTTTATATATACTAATTATAAAAATATAAGAAGTTAAGTTATATTAACAAAATAATAATTTTCTTATCTTGTTATAGTTTTAATATGTTTTAAAATAATAAAATAAAATAATATAATTAAAGAATAATTACTTCGTAATAAGATATTGGAATACTTCTGGAAATGACCTCTCCTAATGGAAAACAAATTCCCATCACCATAAGCAATTTTGCATACACTCCGCTTAACATCACAACTAAAGCATCACTAATAAAATATATAAGTTTTTTTAATATTAAAGTCATGTTCATTTATAAAAATAATCACTTACATAAAAATTAAATATACTTAAATCTTACTTTTCGTTATAACTTGGCGGATTAGATATTTCTTTTAAATTGTTCATATTAGGCATTTCAATAGTTTTAATATCCTGTGCTTGTTCTTCTGCCGTCGAATATAGATCACTGGTAATCTTAAATATGTCAAAAGATAATATTATACGTTTATATTTACAGAATAACAACTTTATTTATATTGTAACTATTGAAGGCTATGGATAGGCTAATCTGTAAGCACAATTTCGATAATTAGCAACAATTTAACTCATTATTATTTAATTTTATAGATTGAAAATTACTAATTTATTACATTTATAATCATAAATTTTAAATTATTATAAAATAATTACGTTAATAAAATAAAACTCACAAATTTTACTCGTGCTGGTGTTACATCCGAAGATAACATGGTAAATTTTCAAAGCTTCATGCACAAATAACCAGTCTTTAAATTAAAATTCTATTAAATTTAAATTTGAATACTTTAATAAGTAACATTCGCTTAAATTTGAAAGATTCGCCCTTTAAATTTGAAAGATTTACCCTGTATAAGTGACAGATTAATGTAACAAATATTTTACTATGTACCTTTTGTTGGAGTCGTCTACTCTACATTTTGTAATGCGTAGTCTAGACTGGCGCTAGATCTGTTTGTAATAAAGTGAAATAACGTAATGCAAATACTCATAAAATGCTTATCAATGATCCTTCGAAATTCACGTCAATAAAGATATGAGTTGCCCGTGAAGGATAATAATGTTTATATAGAATCATAGTCTAAAGTTTCGAAGATTGAATGATCTACAATAAATTTCCTCTGACTATTTTTTAAATATCAGCTATTAATTAAATTTATTAAAGATGTATTTATATACTAGAAAAATTTAAAATATTTAACTAAAATTAAATCTAAATTTTATAGAATGTAATATTTAACTTTGTAGATTTTTTTAAAATTAAATAAGTTAATTTAATTTTATATTTTATAACTTGTTTATGAGCTTAAATTTATGGTATTGTTTTATGAATGTTTGCGTTAATAGTTATAACGCATTTTAAATTACGCATTAATTTGACGATTTGCTGACGTTTATATCTTCAAATAGTAAATATTTAAAAATACAGACGGACGCATACGTCAGACAGTAAGAATTTTTAAAATGTATATATATTAATTAGTGATCGTTGTCACATGTTTATAGAATATTTTAATCATAAATTTTCTATTTAGAATTACGGAAAATATCAATTATCAAAACTTTAAGTATGGCTGTATAAGTTATATAAGCTAATAAAACTATGATTAACTCATTTTTATTTTCTTTGATAAAATAATTAAATATTAAACATTCTATAAAAATATTATAATATTTACAGTTAAAAGTTATAAAAAATTATATTCTATATTTAAATAAATTTATTAGACATAGCAATTTCAAATTGTGATTTGTCTTTTGCTTATATAAATTTAAATTATAAATTGATGAAATGTCAATTTAACTTTTTATATATTTTATGCTAAATTTTGACTAATATATTTAACAAATTACTGAAGACAATTGAAGAAAGTTTAATAAAGTTATTAATTATTTTTGATCTATTTCATGTAAATAATTTATTCCTTTAATACGAAATTTAGAAAAAAACCATGTACAGTACAGTGCGACATAAAAAATAATATGTAGGTAATATTGTTATTAATTAATTTAATAATCGAAAAATCTCAATAATTCACTACTTAGTTTCTAATAAATTTTGATTAAAAATGGATAATAAGTTTAATTTTAAAAATATAAGATTTTTAATTGATAATTTTTAATTATCAATTATTTACACCGTGACAATTTTTATCATATTTTTCTTTTAAAACCAATAGTAATAAACATGAGCAAATATTTTTAAAATATGACCTAAATTTATAATATTAAGATTCTTCAAGAGCGCGATAAAAGAGTATTAGTAATTAAGCATGTAATATGAATTAAATCGTAGCCGATTTATAAATATTAATTTACATTAAGTTTATACGTGTTTAATTTAGAATTATGTTGAAAAATAATTTGTTAAAAATATAGATTATAAGAAATACGATATGGCAACATTACAGTTTTATTAAATAATTATTTATATTTCATATTATTGGATCGTTTCCTGAGATAACATACAAATGGGATTAAAAAAGTCTTTAAAAAGTAGAGAATAGTTTATCATTTATGACAAGAGCATTAAATTATAAAATAAATAAATGAAAACAGAAGAATATTGAAAATAACAATAAAATTTATAATAAATATTAAAGTTTATTAGCAACTTTCATTCTATTTTAGTAAAGTATTATTAATTTATTCTTATAAATTAATTACGATATTATAAGCATTAAAGACAGAACATATCGTGTATTTAAATTCAAAAATAATTAAAGCTATTGTTTTATGCGATTCAAAGTTTGTTTAGTTTTTATTTTAGATATAGCCTTCTATAAATATTTTTATATCTGAAATAAATCTTAATAGTATTTTTGTAATACTTAATTTACAGTTCTATACAGTAATTTATTATATTGTCTTAATTTCATTATTTATGAGCTGAAAAAGCATTAGATTTACGAGAGAATAGTTTGGATTTGTTTCGGGAAATTGCTTGTATAATCTGATTGATCTTTTCTGCTGTGTTGAACTGCTTGTTATATTTTATTTAAAAGAATAAATTCATTTATTTGTTAACTTTTACTTTATTATATTACTTCTTATTATTTCTCTCCTAAATAATTAATGTGGAGATGAGAAGGAAAAGTTACAGAGTAGATAGCCTAATACTCCGGGCACAAAGGTCTGTGCAGCTCTGCATATCGTATTGGAGAGAGTTATCTGAATGTTGTACCAAGGTCAGATGAAAATAAAAGAGGTTTTCATATTAATATTCTGCAATTACACTTCTATAACAATTTCCTCTTGAAATATTGTCAACGAAATAGCATCGTGATGATGTGTCGTTCTCCTATTGTTACAGATTATGATTAAAATCCAATTTAATCCACCGCGATTTTTCGTGACTAGCACGAGAATATTTTGTTTTTACTCTTTTTCCTTCGTGGATACTAAGATTGTGCAGTGAAAAATTACCGGGGAAACAGGTGACAGAGTCATCCGACACCTGACATATATCGACCCCCGACTCCCACATAAAGAAATAAAAGTATTTTTGAAGCAATATTTAGAAAAACTCCAGCAATGAGTTGCGTAACTTTACCGGCAACAAAATTTAAAACTGCGCGTGACGCCATCTGTTATGATATTTTATTTTAAAACTTTTTATATAATTAATTATTATAAAATGGCAAAAGCTTAATTTTAAGGGTAGGGATGAGTTTTATAAAAAGAAAAATTTTAAATGATAATAACGACTGAAATTTTTATTAAGTCCGACCACATTCGAGATAAGACACACGACCCTCCTCTACATCCTCACCTCCTCGACCTTTAACCGCCAAAATTTAATTGCATTAACCTCCAAAATACACAAACCGCACTGCAAAATTTCAGACATTTTCGATGAAAAGCACATGGGATATTAAGCTTCAAAATGGGTGAACAAAATCATGCCCCTCACCAGGGCCGGATCATCGCATAGACAAATGAGACAAATTTCTAGGGCCCGGTTTTTAGAAGGGCCCGGTCAAACTGTCTATTTTGAAAAGATTTGTAAATAAGATCGTTTACTATTCTGTTGGACAACAGTATATAATAAACAAACAAATAAACAAAAATATATTGCTTTTTATATGGTTATTGTGAATTCTAAAATCTAAAGAAAAGGTACGTGGGTTGTTCAAAAAGTTCCCCAACTTTTTGAATAGCGCGCCTCCAGTTGGTTATTTTTTAATTCGCTTGGAGGCGTTGTGTCCGCGGAAACCTCCCGAATAACCTCCTTCAACCCGTTTGTTGATATCTTGTTTTGGTGATTAGTTACGACCGTTTATGTGAAATGGTGTTTGTGGGGTTCGGCGAAAAATCGGATCCGCGGAAATCAGCTCTTTGAAAGAACAACGTTGTTCTGTGAAATTCTGTGTGAAACTCGGAAAATCCTTCACAGAAACTTCCCACGGGTGGGTGAAGCAGCCTCCCGCCCCAAAAAGCTCGACAAGTTCGCTCAAATGTTAAGGTGATGTTGACTGTTTTTTTTTCGATGCAAAGGGGGTTGTGCATCACGAATACCTACCTACAGGCCAGACAGTCAACACGGACCTGGTGTTATGAATCGCCTAAGAGACAAAATCAGGCGAAAACAGCCCGAACTTTGGAGGAGCGGCGAGTGGTTCTTTCATCACGACAACGCGCCGGCTCATTTGTCCCTCAGAACACATGAGTTTTTGGCCAAAACAAGACCGCTGTGCTTCCCCCACCCACCCTGCTCACCTGACCTGGTCTCATGCGACTTTTTCCTGTTTTCCAACAAACTAAAAAACGCGCTCAAAGGAAAAAGATTTGCCACCATTCCAGAGATAGAAAAAAAACTACGGAGGTGCTTATGAGCATTACGGAAAAAGCGTTCCAGGATTGTTTCAAAAAGCGGAAGTGTATATGCTGCGGAAGAGACTACTTTGAAGGGGACCCCGACAAATAAATTGTATGTGAAGTATTTTTTTTTTTTTGTAATAAATAAAGTTCGGGAACTTTTTGAACAACCCTCATATTCTTATGTTTCTTCTTATTGAAAGTAAAACTCCCAATAATTTAGAATATTCTTTATAGCGATAAGAATAATATTAACTATATGTATTCTTAAATCCTGTGAAATATTGTTAAATAATTTTGCTTTTATTTTGTATAAAGCAGCTGTCTATATGCAATTTAATAGAAATAATAGTAACAAGATTTATTAATTGAAAGAGCCGGGAGGGGACCCGGAAGAAGAAAATGTCTAGGGCCCCAAAGTGGGTTAATCCGGCCTTGCCCCTCACACAAACAAACACAAACATCCATATATGAAAACACACCTCTTTTGCATTTCTCGACGATTCAATGTTCCCTGAGTCCAAAAATGTAAAAATCTTGGGGGATCATTTTTTTGATCGATCGCCATACTCTCCATATGTTGTATAAAGCCTAACATCTGGGATGGTAAAAATTAAATAACTTGATTGGAGTCGGAAAATTGGCATTCGCCTAAAGGCGGCATGAATCCATGAGGAGGATGCATACATGTGGTGCGGAATGGAAAAGTGGCACGTTCTTGGCGATCTTTGAAACATTGTCGCCTTTCGTTATGCCGCAAAAGTAAAGCGAGATTCGACTTTTGGGACGAAGGTGGTTGAGACGCTTTCTCTACAACCAATCGCAGCTCATTTCAGTATTGCGTTTATGTCACGTGAGTCTTTATACATGACATAAAATTAAAAAATATAATTACAAATAAGATTTTTTTTTGACAGAACAGTAAAGAAAATATATATATATATATATATATACAAAACTGCTTGAACAGCAAAACTATCTACGAACCAACCAGATTCGATAGATATAGTCTGAAAGTGGTGTAAAAATATGCCACTTTTCACCAGATTTGCAGTAGCCAGACCTACCACCCGTCAAAAAACACTTATTCGATATTCTCTTGTTTCTTTTTATCGTAGAAAAAAGTAACAAAAATGCTTGAAAACGGTAAAACTACCTACTAACCTGTTTTGAGCCAAGTTGCATCTTATTTGCCGTAAAATATGGTAACTGTAAATGTATTTATAATACGTATTAAAGTATATAAAGAAATAGGTGTGTCACAAGAAAAAATATCAAGTTGGGGGTGCCACTATTAGAAAAACGTTGTAGGAAACACTGCATTAAAATGCCACTTCACTACTAATTTTCATACCTAATTCTCTAAAAATTTGCAAATCATTTGAAATGTCCCACGAATCCTCTTTTAGTTAAATACACTTACATTAAGTACAATAATTTTCCTAATATAATTTAAAATTAAAAGAAATTAGATAAATTTACTAAAAAATTGAGAATAAAAAAATTAAGGTCTAGATTCTAGACTTTAATTTTTAAAAATTATTTATAATATTCTCTGTATTCATATGTATTATTTAAATACATTATATGTTTTCTCAGACAGCTGTTATCCAGCTTAATATTTTTCCAAATAATGACACTGTGTGGCGTTGCTATAATTACACGTGCAATTGCAATAGATGCATTGTAGAGTATTATCTCTTTCTGCTGTTGTATTTTAATCCTGATCTGCAGCATTTATCTTCTTTCGTAAAAAATATGCATTTGCAAGGCAAGAAAAACGGAACGAGCGTGAATTGAATATGTTTTCATAAACTTTGAATTTCTTTTATTTTCAAAAGCATACAAAAATTAAAAGGATTTGTTAAAGTAGTTGAAGGTGAGCTTAACGTTAATGTTGACCTCCTGTTTCAGTCCTGATGTCCAGATATGTAATGTAAATCCTTGATAGTTTTAATTAGCTCTTGTTTGACTATTGATAAAATATATCTGTAAGGTTAGTTATAAAGATTAAACATTATTTCTTTTATTCTAACAGTTTTTTAATTTATAAAGTTTTTAAAATATAATTTTGATTTTATATATATATATATANAGTTGAATTATTTAGTTAATTTCATTTATATATATATATAAATGAAATTAACTAAATAATTCAACTAGAAATTTAAAATAAATTTCCTTTACTGCATCTCTGATATCTTGCTTTCTGTGTAAATTTCGTCATTCTACTATAAAAATTGCTGATAACAAATTTTAAATTTTTATTTGGTATTAATTAATAAATTGCATACACATAAAAACATATTATATACAAAGAAATATACTGAGAAACATCAAGAGATAACTTAAAATGTAATCAAATACAAGAATGTTGAAAAACTGTATAATTCTCTTATTTTACCTTAAATTATGGTATTTTAAAATATTGAAATATTTCTTTCAGCATAAAAGAATTTTTTTTTTTTTTAATCATAATTTGTCTTTCTGATATCTCAAGCGGGCATTATTACCAGTAAAAAATTTACTGAAGAAATTAATGAGTTTTTTTTGTTGGTTATAAAAATTTTAATAACAAAAGTGGAGGTTTTCCATTGTGCAGAATTATTAATTCAAGTATAGTTTTTGAAACATAATACCTATTTGATATAAAATTTTTTAATAGTAGTAGTAAAAAATAAGATATATTTTTTAATTTAATATATTTCTACTGCATTTGCATTAAAGAATATTGTAATATATGTAATTAATTGTTTTTGAATTTTTTAAAATTATAAACAAATACCTTCAGATTAGAGTTGTGACTACAGGCTATATTTTATTAAATGTAGCCTATAGTTTGGTTTTTCTTTTTTTTAAATTCTTAAAATTAGTTTCAGTTTACTTAAAAGATCATTTCAAGTATTAGTAATTTGATTAAAAAGGAATAATTAAAGTATATCTATCATTATGGAAATTTAAAAAAATTATTTTATGTTTAACATTATTAATATGCTTCAAAAATTATTGTTTTTTCAGATTAAATTAATTTTAATTTGATTTTCATTTAAAAAAGGAAAAGTTTTTAAATATGATTTACAATAATAATATGTTGTTACAATTCTGTTTATTCATAAAAAATAGAGTTCTTCGGAGTAATAATAATTATAATATATATTAGAGTAAAAATAAAAGATTTTGGTTAAATCAAAAATTATTTCTTGATGTCATAAAATTCAATAAAAATTGAAGTACTGTACTAGGATTTTGGTATTTGAAGAACTATTGGAATGATTTTAACAACAATTCATTAATTTTTTTATTTTATTTAAACTTAATACTAATTGGACTGTATTAATTTTCATAGTATCATTATCATTATCAATCAAATAAACAATTGATTATATTTCACTGCAAAATTTATTAATTTATGTTGATTATAAAATTAAAATTATTAAAATTATAAACTTAATATATGAATTTTGTTCAGTTCTATAGTTTGTATATAGTCTAATTTTTATTCTTTTATAATATATATATATATATGCTTTGAGACAATTTTTGCCTTATATCAAAAAACACATTATAGTACAATCTTGCTAATCTGACATGTGGAACCAGAATAATGTTGGATTAAGAATATTGTTGGATTATTGGAAGTTCACACATTTGATTTAATGAAAGATTTCTCCCACACCTGGTCATATACAACAAGTATGTGTAGTCTTTAACCAATATCCGGCGTGAAAATTCCAAACTAATATTGGCAAATGCTTTCGATGCCCCTCCTGGGCTCTTCTTCAGACCAAATTTACTGTACTGGATTCTTAAATCAAATATTTTTAAATAAGATTTTGATTTTTTTGATTTAATGATTTAAACACAATAAAAATATGATTATAATCAACATAATGAAGACAATTCAGTACATAAATGAATTTAACAGCATGAGGTCAACTTTTAACAATGCAGCAAAACACAGGTTGGACTACTAATCAAAACATCCAAATATTCTGCCTTCTCCAGTAGTCTGTGTTGTAAAGTTCATGGATTCCCATTAAATTTAGTGGAAAATTGAAATGATTATGGGAAATTTCATAGCAGATATAGTATTTTTGGTGAGAAATTTCAGGGGACTGATTTTTATATTTACATAGGATTGTTGTAATATGCTGTATCTTTTTCCAGCAGTCTAAGATGACAAGCCTAACAATCTTTAATATTGTTTTACACTTAGTCTAGATCAAATAGACACATAGGCATGTGGGTTTATCACACCAGTGAGCAGGATTAAATTACAAAATCTTTAATGAATCATTAAAGATTTTGTAATTTAATCCTGCTCACTGGTGTGATAAACCCACATGCCTATGTGTCTATTTGATCTAGACTAAGTGTAAAACAATATTAAGGGCTAAAAGCAATAGATTATTCCATTGACTTTAATATTGTGCTTAAGTTCAAGTAATATCATACCATGTTAGTGGAAGTGTTCAAATTTAATGAGAATTGGAGTTTGAATTAGTAGAACACTTGTCAATAATTTGGCAACAGTACTAATAATACCCAAGAGTTAACTAGTGTCAAATTACTGGCAGTGGCGTACCGTAGTGGGGGGCGGCACTTTTTAGGGGACGGCAAAATTTCACAATAAATAATAATAATATCTTGTAAAAATTTGAAACATCCTAATCTACCAGTATACTTGCATCGCGCATATGATAGTGCTATCGTCCAGACAGTCCGGGAATTGGCTCGCCGTCCGGGTGAACTAGTAAGTTTTTCATCTGAGGAAATCCTGCGAAACCTGTTGACCTTTTTGTTTTTTTTTTTTTCTTGTACGATTCATTTGCGTTCATATACACCACTAATATCCAATAGAACTATTTTAAACAAGTCGCTGCACTACCACCAAATTTTTCATTGCTTGTTCTGTGACAAAACTGAATTTTGATCTTTTAAATTAAAATACCTAAATAAGGGGGTCCGAAATTTTCCTCCGCCCCGGGCGGCTGACACCCACGGTACGCCACTGATTACTGGACATGTTAAACTAGAAAATGGATGGATTGGATTGCCAAGATCATGCTGTATGTTATCTATTCAGATATATCATTTGAAAAAAAAAATTCTCTGTTTAATGTAAATTATTTATGAAAGTTATGAAATAATAAAAATCAAGATTTATTACTGGGTTTAAACATTTAATATAAATGTTGATAATTCAGATTATTTTCTAATTATCTCATTTACTTTTAGAAATTAAAATATAAAAATGAAGATTATGGTAGGCTATTTGGCTCCCTAACATATCTGAAAAAAAAAACACTTAGTTTATGGATAAATATTTTTGGAATTAGTGCATTTTATATGAAGATCTAAAATAATTCAATAATTGTTTATCAAACTATTTTACATCAGATAGGAATGCACTAGTTCTGAAAGCATTTATTTGTAAAATACTGACGTCTTTATAACTTTTTCTCTTTTTAGTCATTTTTAAATATAAAGATGATGATAAAATATATAAATAAAATCTTATGATGTAAAAATAATTAATAATTCTATTTTCTAGTAGTAGAATAAGGAAGGATATACATTATATTCTTTGTTAAACTGATAAGTACTGTACATAAGTATAGGAAAATAAAAAGTATAAATTTTTTTAAATATAAAATAATATAGATGTTTTAAATTATTTCTTTTATTTTAATTAAAATGTATAATTTTGTATAAACAAATTTTAAATACATCTAACAAGTAAGTAATGTTTTTTTAAGATATATGCAAATAGAAAAAATTAAAAATTTTGAAATGTTTAGTAATTTTCCTGATAAACAATAGCTAGAAGCAATAATTATTTATAGTATGCAGATACTATTCAATACAAACATTACAGCACATCTACAAACAAACAGGTTACTGTTTGTATGTACTATACAAAATAGTAGTTTAGAGTTAATACAATGGTATTTTATATTTTAGTGAAATTATATATACTAAGATAACTACTTCCAACAACTTAACACCTCGTTGAATAATAACGCTATTCATTCCCGCGTGCTCTTCTGACTCCGTTGTCTACAAAATGGCGGCTTTCCGAGCCCTTACCAAACGGGCTTTCACGCACCACACACGTGCGCGACGCATGGTCGGAGATCCGACGCATAGAAAAAAATTGCCGTGGAACATGGTTATAATAAAGCCTTGGTCCGCGGTTTAGCAAGCGCATACGCCCGCCGCCCCCCTTGCCGCAGGGACAGCCCCCTACCATCACCGGACGACAACCGTCAACTGGATGGGAACGCGAGACGCGCAGTCGTCCGCTTCAACCGGCATTTAGACCCCCTATATAGGGAGATCGCTAGCAACAGCCGCACCAAAATCGCGTACTTAAGAACCGGCACGCTTTACGACTTGCTGCGCAACGCGAAGGACGCAATCGATCTCACCAGGGCCCCAGGTGTTTACTCCATTCCCATACGGGACGACAGGTTCAATAGAGACTTAGTTTACATCGGCTCCACCATCCGATCAACACAGAAACGAATACGCGAACACCAAGCTGATATTAAGCATAAAAGACACACCACTGCCTTATCCACCTATGTCACCGACCCGGAAATAAGGGCGGACTTCCGGAACACCAAAGTTATCAGACACGTGTTCCGCGCGGATCACATCCGTCACCTGGAGGCCTGGGAGATTCACAAAGCTAGCAGGGGGGCAACTGCATCAACTACAAGGACGGGGAAACACTTGCACAGGCGTGGAAGTATTTATTCGAGGAGTTCGAGCAATGGCGGTCGGAGGGGTGAAACCCGACGCGCACGTTTATTTATTTACATCGTTGGCAACATCGTTACAAAGATCGGGTCGACAGTCACCACCTGAAGCAGA